AAAGCCTGAGCTTGCCTGATTAACAGAGGGAGCTCAAGGTGGGGGTTTGTGCTGAGTCCCGTGGGTTAGGTGATGACCGACGAGATAAACAACCCCTCCTGTCTTTCACGTAGGTGATAGGCTCTAGCTGTAGAGACTACCGCCTACTCACTCGCATCAGTTTTAAAGGCGATTGTTTTTAGTTCACAACTCAATCGTCCACCTTCTTTTCCTCTCAGATGACCGATGGTTTCCTAATCTGGTCATCAAATTGGCATTTGTAAAAGGGACTAACAGAATCTTCACAAAAATAAAGTCTGGGTTAAATGTCCTTTCTGACTGCCATCAAAGGGGGGGAGGTCGCCTCCACACTCGTCTAAGCCTCCTCACACAAGATCTGTTGAGTCACCAAGGTGACCTCAAAGTAGACTGGCAGTTGTGTATTTGAACCCTACGCCAGTAGCGCTGACGAGGTCTTGTGTGCGTGACCTCCCTCTGCCCTCAAGTAGACTGTCAAAGCACTGCCAAGGGGCTGCATATCGTCTCTTCATTTCCCTTAAATCCCAAACGGCTAATATTTTTGTTTTCCTCCTCTCTTTATCAACGCCTCTTTCTTAGTTAAAGATTTATTACTAGGCTATTCCGACGTTTGCTTACAAAGGTGACCAACCCTCCACTGACAGGTGTCGCCCTCGGCCAAGCAAAATCCCTATCAGAGCATGCGATCAAGACCTCCAAGGCCTGCGCCCAAAAGGACATGGCTGTTTGCGTCATGCGGTGGAGAATTCCACACACACTACCTCCGAAGTAGAGGCGATAAAAAAGTGGAAAATTTGTGCAATGCAATAACTGTGTGTGCAAGGGTGCGGTTGCATGTGATTTTGTTGGCAAAGGGTGGCGGGTGGGGGTGGGGGGATACTTTGTTGCAAGCCTGAACACACCCTGTATTTCGTGCCTGCCATATTCTCTCTCTCTGCAAGCTTAGGCAATGAATCAGCCTCCATCTCACAGAGGCAATCCAATGACTCCACGGTGGTGTCACCACAAGTGACTCCTAGGTGCTCTCTGTACATCCTCCTCGAATCGACACTTTCTATTGGTGATCCATTCATTCCCTTTTTTTGTTGCCAGCTCATTAATAATGTGGATGTGAAAGGTTTAAAATATCAAGCAAAGGCGCATTTTTTTAAGGTGGAAAAAGTGCCCCAGTGACTGGGTTGGAAGTGAATCCTCTGGGCTCCACCCACATCGGGAGAGTGCTTCCAATTCCGGTGTGTTTTAAAGTGTTCCAATCGTTAGAGGCAGAGCTCACTGCAAAATTGACACCCTGCATCAATCTCCTTAGGTGACGGTATTCCCTCCTCTCCCCACATCCTAACCTTCCCCTTCTCCAGGCAATGGACGCCCTCTAGTGTCGGTTGAATGAGTCAATGGACGTGGTCCATGCCAAGGATATGGATGCTAGATTCTAGTGGCATAAGAGCAATATGCGAAAGTGGAAGGAGCTTTCTTGAAGCATTAGGCGTAAGATGTAAAGTAGCCAGCAATGATTTGGGTGAGGGCGGCGGCTTAAACGTTGAAGTTTGGTAAAGACCTTCCCACGAAGGCAAAACAAATATCCCCACAATCAATTACTGCCTGATTTTCCCCACTCAGTACTTTTGATTCTCTCTGCTGCCAATGTGATTCTTTAAAATTAATATCAAGAGGCAAAATTAGGATTGTCTCGTGTTTCTTTGACTGAAGACCTTCTTTAATTGAGTGCGGGAAGATCCAACATACTCTAGTTGAATAGAGGAGTACGTGTTCCCCTCGGACATCAATGTTAAGGTCTTCTGTGCCAGCATAGCGGCAAGAGCGGAAGGCTGTGGAGGTCACTGAACCAACAGGCGCCATGCTTGTTGAGAAGAGGTAGCAAGGGGGTTTGACAGACTGTGGACTGGTGGATCGCCTTCTTTTTCCTCATTTCTTTCACTTACACCACGACATCGGTCGATCCGCAACTGATCCATTCAATATGCACCACTTCTCCCCAAGCTGTCTGTTTTGTGTGTGTTTGCGGCGGGGGAACTGCCAACATAACTGATCCTTCGCTGAAGGCCTCAAAGACGTGTTGGAAGATCCTTTCTTCCTAAGAAGCAGAGAGAATTGGTCAATGACAGAATGACAACGTAGGGCCCCTTATCGGCGCGAGGGGTGCTGTCTCAGCTCCTCCTCATTTTTCAGACGTTTGTTCTTCAGGGAATTAATATTATCTACTCCAAGCATCAGCCAATTAGGGCTGGGTTCTTATTGAGTGGTAGAGTCTCGTGGTGAAGGGATCACCCGCTCACCCCCCACTCCAACGACAATTACTCCACCCAACAGCAAGATACGAGGTCAGTTTTTCACTGTCAGCAAATATTTCTCAATCCTAAGACATTTCAGCAGGTAATTTTTCTCCCTTTTTACCACCACCACCCGTAGAAGTAGTGAGGAAGGGGGAGAGGAAGGAGGATCACCCCCTCCCCTCCTATTTCTTCAAATTTAGCAATAAATTATTTCACTTTTTCCATTCCAACACAAGAAGCTGTAACCCTACGAACTTAAAAACCGTACTTTGGTTTTGCGGTTTTTTTTCGGTGTTCGTAGAAAAGGAGCTGTGAGAATG